AAATATAAATAATAATAAAGAATAAATGAATAAAATTATAAAAAAAATAATTAATTAAAACATTAATAATCTAAATTTATAATTATGATACACATAGTGATCATCTGAGTAATAATATGCTAAATCTAGATGTATTAAATACATAATAATTATCTGTGTATCCAGAGTGAAAATGATCTTCTTATAAATGTAATACAGAGCTAATCTGTTATACACATAGTGCAAAATAAAGATCTAAACTAAAAGAGATTTAAAGAAAGATAACCCAATCAAAATTGTTACAATTATAAACTTTTTAATATACTTCTTAAAGATTTTATTTATAAGTCTTTGAAAGATGACTAGAATATTTGTAAGCCCAAATAGTATTATATTAAAATAAAATAAGCCTTTATTGATAATGAATGTGATTTTCTCCCAGTCTCTAAGATGCATTTTTACTTGCCAAAATCCACTAGTAAGATTCATAGTGATAAAATATTTAGCATTTTTGAAGAAGTCTAAAAGTTTATCAATTCATGAAAGAGTATATCAATTTTTTTTTGTGACTTCATTTAACTTTCTGTAATCTATACACAACTGAAATTTTCTATTCTTTTTTCTCACTATTACTATTAGTACAGATTAAGGACTATCAAAGGGGGAAATTATTTCATTATCCAATATTTTTTGAATTTTTTCTCTCAGAAAGATATTTTCCATAGGTAATTTTTGATGGTATAATCAGAGAGTGATAGATCTTTCTTCTTCTAAATATATTTCATGTTAAAATATATTTATTCTATCAGGCTGAATTATATTAAAAAGATCTTTGAATGAATCTAAAATTTGATATAGATATTGTTATTATTCTGGATCTAAGTCTGACTTAATTATAGTTGAAATGATATTTAAAGATGATTAAGATAATATTTTTAATTATCTATATATATTCTGTTTTGTCTTACATTAAGCGTAATTATTTTTTCTTTTACTATGAATGTAAGTATTATAATCTTCTAATCTTTCTCATCAAATTCTTTCTTTTTCTTCCTATTTAATAATTTCTTTATTAATTTTTACAAAGTTTTCTTGAACTTCTATTTTCAGTACAAGTTGCTCACTTTATTTTTCATGTATTATATACAAGAGCTGGTTAATTAATTCTTCTTCTTTATATTCAAACTCATTATCTTCATTTTCAAGAACAGAATCTTCAAGTTTTTTCTTGAAATCAATCAACTTCATAATTGATCTCTGCTAAGTATAGGTGATTGGGATGATTATAAACTCTTCTTTAACTTCAAAATTTAAAAGTTCTTCATTCCAATTTAAAATAGCTTTGAACTGTTTTGCCTATTGATTGTCAAGTAACAGATCATACTTTGCTTTTTCTATAACTAGGATATTTATTTGTTGACTTAGATCTCTAATTTTTATTTTTAACCCTTTTACTTTACCTAGTGATCATTCAGACTTTCTATTTATATCTATAAGACTGATATTAGATAGCTTATTAATCTTTTTTTCTATTTATTTTAAAAATCTAACTGATACAATATTACTGACTGATCCACTATTAATTATTATTCTGATAGATTGATCTTTTACTTTTCTTTCACAGTAAATTATATTTACTACTTTTTCATTCTTTTTTTCTAGATTTTTATTTTTCTCTATAGTTTCAGTTAGTAATTGTTATAAGAATATTATTAAAGATTTTTGAGATTAATTTGTATTCTGATCTTCTTCAGGTATAGACTCTAGTTTAAAATGCAGAGTACACAGTAAAACTTGATATAATAAAGACTATGATTCTAACTCTTTTCTTTATTATATCAAGAGATCTACTAAATCAAGTTTTTTATGATATAACAGATATCATAATAAGCTACATAATATTCTGTTATATTAAGTAATCTGTAATCTTATTAGATAATTTTCAATTAATATTTATTTAGCTCAAATTATGAATATCTTACAATCATTATTTACTTTTATTAAAGTACATAAGAAATAAATAAATTAAATCCTAACGTAATCAACCAACGGATTAATAGGTTGTGGAATTAAGGTAGTATAATCGGAATTGGGAAATTTGCCTTTATGTAATTTAATCTCAAATAGACGCACAAAGGTGGCAATAATGGTTTTTATTTGTAGATAAGCGAATGCTTCACCAATACATCGATGACGACCTAAACAATTAGACAAGGAACATGTGAGCAAATGAAAATAACTAGATAAAAGAGAAAAAATTCAAATAATTACCAGCTCCAAATGGAAGATAAGGTGACTTTGCCGAACTGCTATGCATTGCACCCCATCCATAATCAACAAGGTCATCATCCTTGACTTTTACATCTTTATCATACTTATCCCATCGTGACGGTAAAAATTGCTCCGGATTATCGAAATACTGATCGGCTCTTTGAGAAATAACCGGCACCGCTTGAATATAAGAGCCTTTCGGAACCACATAATTGGTATTCGGTATCGGTATATCGCGATTAGCTTTCCGCATCATATTTGTGATCGGGGGTCGAATTCGAAGCGTTTCCCGAAGAACATTATCAAGCAACGACAGTTTTTTCACGTTTTCAAGGGTGAGCGGGGCATCCAAAGATCCGAGAATATTGATTTGTTCTTTTCGTAGTTGCTCGAATAGGTGCGGGTTTTCTGCAAGAAATATGAATGCCCATGCAGAGGTCGTCGAACTTGTGTGTTGTCCGGCCAATAGTAAAGCAATCATCATATGCGCTGCTTCGACATCGGTGGGGCGTCTGCCATCTTTATACTGACATTGTTTGATTAGGTAAGACATGATGTCGGTGCGATCTTCCGTTCCTGATTTTCGACGCGATTCCATTATATCCAGAAAGAAATTTCGCATTTTTATGTGAGCCTTGTCGCGCAATCTGTTTGATGGTATGGGAAGGTCTTCGAAGACAAAGTTAATTGGACTGAAACCTGCATCGAGATCATGAAAAATTTGTGCGACTATATATTTATTTAGTAAGTATCAATTAATTAAGTAATCTCTCTCAGAGAAAAAACGAAAAATATGAATTTTACATGATTCATCCAATTTTGATCGAACTTCCTCGCCTAATAAACAACGAGATGCAGTCATAATGGTAAGTTCGGCAGATGCTTTATAAATATTCTCAACACCAAACGGTTTATTCCACCGAGCAAAATAATCGACCGCCTCTTTGACGATTAAAGGAGCATACGCCTGTAATCGTTCATTTGACAATCCAGCTTTCACAAATCTATATTTGAATTTTCAATTAATCTATAAATTTACAAAAAGTAGATAACGGGTAAACAGTGAAATAATTAATCTAATACCTTTTTTGTTCCATTAGCACTGAATTTTGCACATCATACACAACTCCTTTGCCGAATACCGGTACTGTCAATGATTTATACGCGTCTTCGGCCGACGCGTCGGCTAATTTCGCGTTAAATACAAAATTATTGCCTTCGGCACCAAGACATGTGACCATTTTTTTGCCGAGTAACAGAAATTGATAGTAATCACCATGCTATATATACGAAATAAACCACCATGAATTAATTGATGTCAATCATGCTGGCTGAATACACATTTGTTTTTATTTAGTCACCTCTTTTTGACATTTTTTATAGAAACCGAATGGGTCTATGCCCAACCAAGCAGCAGACCCTAATACAGGAATCCAATATGATACCATTGGAGGTTCGTTTGGCTTCAATTTAGGATACTTTATTATTACCAGACCCAAAGATATGATAGCAAGTTAGATTTGGACTTAAGGAGTCAAATTTACAACTATATTTCAAATTAAAGAAATTTACAGCGATATTCTTCAACGTATACAAAAACACCCCGACAACAATCAACCCAATCACAACCGTGACGAGTATACTCTCAGTATTTGCATCTTTAACAAGCGGAGCAAAGACAGACTTTTGACCAATTGATGCGTTAACATGTCGCGCAAAGGGCTCTAGATATGCGTCATAAACAACTTTCCATAAGCGCGTCGTTGCCGACATATCTTTTTTTCGTAATGAGCTATTTTAACTTTAGAAGTGTTTTAACTTCCACTCGGGAATCTATCAAACAAATCTATTTAACAAATCTATTTTTTATTTTTAATTCATCTCACTCTTTCTTTCCTTTTTAGAATTATTTCAATTACACAGAACCTTTTTTGAAAATTTAATTTTACACAGATCGATCATATACTTGTATTCAACCTTTTTTCATTTTATGCATGTGAAAGAACATGTCATGAAAAGATCATAAAATAAAACTTGTTTAGCTAGCATTTAAATGATGTTCAACAAATAGTACCCATTATCTATTTTATTGGTAAGCTTTGGCCATAGAATGGTACTATTGGCCGAACACATTTTCTCCGATGGCGTCAATTCCAATAATCTTAGTCCGTTGACCGAACACACGATAGTTACATTTTTTCTAACGGTGTCAATCCCAATAATCTCAGTCCATTACCCATCGTTAATTTCGCTGCCCAAAAAAGTAACAATCGAGATTCCGCAAGATCCTGATTCATTCCTTTAACTCTTAGAACGCGGACAGCTTGAGAAATAGTGTGTGCAAGCGTAAATAAATAGTGGGTTAATATGCGTGGTTGGGATTCATCGAATGATTTTAGGACAACATCCGGATATTGGGCTATCTGGAATGCTAGTTCGAAAGCTTCCGGATCCTTGAGAATTTTTGGGTCTGCAGAAAAATTCAATTTGACATCGGCTTTTTCTTCAATACTTTTGAAAAATTTTGGAGAATTTTAAGTTAGTTAAAATCAATTATCTATTAATTTGAATATAGAGATACTTGCCCACTTAATCGAGCATGCGCATATTGAAGATATACACCCGTATTTCCATGACTATCCAACATGCGCTCCCATGAAAAATCATAATCCAATTGTCTATCTCGTGAAAAATCTTCTATTACTACTGCTGAAATTCCTACAATATCTGCAACCTTTTCTGCGGCCGCTTCGCCAATTTTGGACAAAACTTCTAAATCTTCTTGCTGTTGTTGATCTATATTTATTGATGAAAGAGACAATGATGATGATGATGATGACGACGAAGATAAATGCATCCGAGTTGCTCCCTCTTTAATTTCTTGATATTTCTTTTCATTCTCTTTAATTATTTCCAGCATATGTTGCTGTGCACTATCCAACAAGTCTTTGAGAAATACCGCCGTGCCTTTACGAGTTGACATCCCATTAATTAATCCAAAGTGAATATGTTGTAGCTGGTTTGCCCAATTCTCTTGCTTCTTATTAGAATCATCGTTCTCTGTAGAGTTTAATATTTCCAGTATTTTGAATAATCGCTGAAAATGAATTTGTTGTGACACGCCGACCACGTAAAGCATCTTATCGAAATTATACTTTTGTTTGCGATCTATTGCAGCTGCTATATCACGCGTTATGTATAAAGATGTTTCGTCGTGGCGTTTTATCACCGGTGAACCTAGATTATACTTCTCTAAATCAACGTATAGAGAACCATCTTCTTGTTCTTGCAATAGTCCTTTGGTGCGTAGCAAATCGATCACCTTTGGAATATCTTTGTGGGTTTCCGATTCACCAGAATATACGTCAAAACTAATATTTAATCTTTTATATAAAGGTTGATATTCAGTTATGCTTAACTCGCGAAATTGTCGCCACAATGCCAGGATAGATTCATCCCCTTGTATAATAAAAGCGAATTTTATCAGTAATATTCCAAGAACTAACAATTCAGCTTAATGAATCGTTCCTATTTACCATCTTCCATTTTTTTGAAGCATCGATTTGCTTCTTCACTGATACTATTGTCTTCGCTTGCTTCTTTACAAATCCGGACATATACATCGTATAGATGATACACAGGATTTTGCAGCAGCTGTTCACGCGATCCAAACTTATTAAATCCAACAGACAGCAGACCTATCAATAGAAATAATCAACGACATATCAACTGATCTCGATCACCTTATATAACACGCCATGTCCAATCATCAATTAGATAATCACCATACTGTTTACCCCAATCGCCCAAGTAATTGACACATATTGTCTTGTATCCCATTGCCTCGTGAATTTTTTTCAAAAAGTTTCCAAGAATAGTACTTTTCAAATGACCTGCATGGAATGGTTTCGCGATATTAGGCGAGCTAAAGTCAATCAACACTGTTTTGTCTTCACCATATTTCGGAAAAGTGCCATATGATGTTCGTTCGCGTGTGACCCGATCAAGTACTTGACGTATAAGCTCAATACGTTGTAGCTTGAAATTTAGATACGTTCCAAGTGGTGTGGTATCAGCGATAAATGTATCAGGTTGAAACTAAGATTAACAGGTTCAAATTTAGACATCACCGAATTATCCGTGCAAATGACAAAATTTACTATTATTAAATACGTCGAATCATACGTGTCCAAACCTTCTCTGCCAATTCCTTTGTATATTCAACTGGATTCTTTGGTTGTTCTAGTGACGCACTCTTCTCGTTAGTTGTCTTTCTTTTTTTTCGCTGTCCTCCGCCTGAACTAGCCAGCAGTTTTGGAACTATTACAGCAAATTGTCCAAATTCTTTTTTCGGCGTTAGTTCTATGCACTCGAAAGTTTTAGTTTCTGGTTCTCCAGTGAGCTGCGATAGTTGACTTGCAATAGCTCTTTTAAAGTTCACCAAGACGCTGTTTGACGCGTGTTTGGATATCTGTGAAATTAGAGACATTTTTGATTTATGCTATGCTACAATTGGTAAGTATGCATTGATTGATTTTTTGTCATATACTCGCGAAGATCACAAAAAGTTTATTTCTTCTACATAAAATGTCAAGGATCAAGAGAAACTATAAAGCAAAAAGACCACCAAATCAAAATGGAACCAAAGAACGGCATAAAGATGTAATACCACAGCAAACATCTTGGAAAAAGTATTCCAAAAAAAATCAACGACAGAAATGTCATTTGACTGCATTATCCCCCGAAGTCTTCATAAATATTTGCCGGTACCTTCCACCCGAAGACTTGAATCGTTTAGCCCTTACTTGCAAATCCTTTTTCAATTTCCTTTTTTCCGAGTTAGAGTCTACACAATTAATATGGAAGCATTCACGCACAGCATACTCTTCGTTCCATCGTCAGTTACCACCACCTAAAGGAATGAGCGAACTAGACTATACAAGATTGGTGTTTGGCAAAATTTGTCAATTTTGTAAATGTCGGATATTCAAACCAAAAATTAATTGGCATTTTCGGGTTCGATGTTGTGTTGAATGCTATAACAAAAATGTTGGAACGTAAGTTGCGACTTGATTTTTAAATTTGATAATTTTATAACTAAGCAAACATCACCCTGTTTAAATCCAGTGTTTTAGAAATCATGTCAAAATTTCCGGTGCGACTCCCAGAATCCGTATGGAAGACCTTACCGCACCGCTACAACTCGAAAAGCGAACGAATATATTGGATCGCAGATGTAATAATGCGTTATCAAGAATACAAAGCTCTCGATAACGATAGCAATATGATTGAAAAGACAGCGTGGGTCGAGAAAAAAGCTGCTGAGAACGCAGTGTACATAGAGGATCAGGCTCTTCGTGATGATCTTTATAAACGTTCATTTCGACAGAAGAAAGCAAACAAACGTCTAGGGAAGAAAGCACGAATAGAGACGATCGATGCTCGAATAGCTGAATTCTGTTCACAGTGTACGCAATACGAGTTTTTGTTGATGAGAAAATGCCCATCATATAATTTGGCTATATCGGCTGCAAATGAGTTCACGAATCGCAGTTGGATCATATTACGGAATAAGTTGGTGAAGGAATATGATGCAGGCGAATTTATGTTCTGAAAAGAAAATTATTGATTATCACAATCTTTCGAAACATCTGGATGATAATTTGGTTTCAAACATCATGAATTTTATTCTATTCAAAATCCTTTTTTATGTAACCAAAATTTCAATTCTCGATCTCTCTTTCCTTTAAGTACAATCTGATTGCAAGTCTGGTTAATTGTTACCATTCTGTCTTTCGTATCGTTAGGAAAAAATTCCTCTTTTATGTCTTGAGCTAATTTCTTTTTTTTTAGGGGGGGGGAAAGATCAATAATTCAATATACCAATATACCCATGCACAAATAAAAATACTCATTATAATCATTCAATACCTTAATATTTCCCTCGATTCGCCGTACAATAGTCAGAACTCGT